CAGATATTTGGTCAAATATTATTGTAGATATGTCTGTAAAGGTGTGTTTGATGAGGGTGAGATTAACATTTAAATTGGTAGCCTGAATAAAGCAGACTGCCCTACCTCAGTGGTCGGCAAACTCATTAGTCAACAGAGCCAAACATCAACAGAACGATTGAAATTTCTTTTGAGAGCCAAATTTTTTAAACTTAAACTATATAGGTAGGTACACTGTTATTAACTTAATTAGGGTACTCCTAAGGCTTAGGAAGAGCCACAAGGGGCCAAAGAGCTGCATGTAGCTCGCGAGCCGCAGTTTTCCAACCACGGCCCTACCTAATGTAGGTGGAAAAGGAAGTCAACCAACACTGAAATGGAAAATTCTGTTTTTTTCAAAACAGCCGCCTTTTCGCACAAGCCCACTTTGTCCCCAGCATATAAAAGCAAGCCAGGCAGAGCCAGTCCTCCCCCAACCCCCACGAGCCAGTTCAGAAGACCTTCCTTTCCTCTGTGCTATCTCCCTTGTGCTTGGGCATAAGCTTAATAAAATCTGATTGGGAATTTCTCTGGGATTTCCTCTCGATTTCTATCTTGGGGAACCCAAGAACCCCAATGCCAGTAACAGTATGATTCCACTTATGGGAGGCCCCTAAAATAGACAAATTCAGAGAGGAAAAAATAGACTAGAGGTCACTAGGGGCTCACAAAAAAAGGAAAATGAGTAATTGTTTGACAGGTACAAAATTTCTGTTTGGGATGAAATTGTTGTGGAAATCCATGATGGTTATGCAACACTGTGAATGTGCTCAGTACCAATGAATTAAAACTGTTAAAACTAGTAAATTTTAAGTTATGTATATTTTCCCACAATAAAAAAATAATAATAAAAGTACAAAAGAAAACTCCTGCCAACCTAGAAGACTACATTCAACAAAAAATATATTTTAAATTAAAGGCAAAAATAAAGATTTTTCAGATAATGAAAACTGTGGGTAGAACCTAGGGCATTCAGATCCAAAAGGGTCTGGTTCAGGTTCCTCTGTAGGACCTTGGCAGCTTCCATGGTGTCCTGCCCCACACATTTAGGGAGGTTTCTGTACATCATGGAAGAGGACGCAGCCACCACACTTGTTTTGCATCAAGAGACAATAGGCGCCCTCCCAATTCTCCTCCACCAAACCAACTGGCAGAAAAGTGGCCCAGGCTCTTCAGAGCCACATCCTCATGGTCAAAACAGAAGCCCAGAGAGAGGTAGGTGTAGAAGGCCTGCAGATGCATGTAGACCAGGCAGTTGATGGTGGCCTCCACCTCAGTGGAATAATTCTGACGAATTTGGGAGCACATGGCTGCTCAGCAATAAGGAGCTAAGCTCAAAAATCGTGTTGGCTGATTTTGGAGGCCAAGGATGGCTGACATGATTCTGAAAGCAATGGAAGAGCATAATTTCTACTCCTAAATGCACCATAGGTCAATACTATTCTTTTTTCCAAAAATAGATGAATATATCACTTAACTTTCAAATACCTTATTTATTCAGAGAACATTTCTTGTTAGTTGCTTATGTAAGTCACAAGAAATCTATTAGCAATATGTGTGTGTGTATACATATATATATTCCTTGTTATAAGCACAAAATACTAATGTATAGTCAAAATATTTTGTCATCTGCAAACTATCTAGTAATAACTGTTTTATAACACCTTTTTATATAAATGTTCTGAATTAATAAGAAGTACAAAATAATTAAAACTGGCTGAGCACATGAGCAAGTTCATCTCCACTCTACTAAAACCTTACCAAAAAGAAATTTAAAGAGACAAAAGACTGACACACACTGGGATGATAATAATGAGGAGGGTAATACCAACCTAATGCTAGAATGCAGAAAGCAAATGAATGAATACACAGTAACTGAGTAGAGGAAGACAAACCCCGATGACTAGTAGCCAAGACATTACCAATCAAACTAATTTCTTCCAAAGTAAATAATTTCTGACCAAAAACCATCAGAAGAGCTCCAAACAGAGAGCACCTGTTATCTCTGAAAGCCAGGTTGAAACTGAAAACAGGGAAACTGGCAGAAGCTATCAATAAGGAACAGGTAAATGCCTAATCCCCTCCTCCTGCTTGCAGGAAACATGAGGTTAACGCTGGAAAGGCTGGACCAGAGGGCCCCAAATAAGTGGACATCAAGTACATCCTGGGGGCAGGTATGAGGGTTCTGCTTAAAACTGGGATTTATATAAAAAGTCTGGAAAAAAATAAAAAGAGGTAAGACCTTTAGCCCCTTCCCTTGATCTAAACCAGAATACTGGCTATTGCCCTGCCAGAGCTGGGAAGATTTCTCTCTAACTAGTACAAAAGAAAAACATATAGACATTTGGTTTTGTTGGGGGAACAACTGGGAATTCCCTCAACAAAAAAAGCATGATCACACCATCCCCCATGAGGTCACCCAGACCTGTCCTCACAAACAAAGCTTCCAAATGGCTTTTAAGTGCCACACTCATGAGTATGAAAACAGCAGAGTGTCACTGTATGGTTGACGAAATTGGCTAACATGTATTGGGGTCTGAAACAAAAAATAAGACAGCAAAAAGAGAAACAGCAGGTAAGAACAAAATTTAAAGAATTATATCCTAAGAGATAAGCCAAAATACATATTAAGTTCGTGAACCGAGAACAGGACATTACTTTTAAAAGTATTCATCACAGAAGAATCTCTAGAAATTAAAACTATGAAAACCAGTCCTAACCAGTGTTGCTAAATGGTTAGAGCATTACCCCCCACACCCAAATGCTCATGGGTTCAACTCCCAGTCAAGGGCACATACCTGAATTGCAGGTTCGATCCCTGGCCTTGTCAAGGCGCATGAGGAAGGCAACCAATCAATGTGTCTCATATCTATGTTTCTCTCCCTCCCTTTCTCCCTCTCCCCCTCTCTCCCTCCTTCCCTCCTTTCCACTCTTCCTAAAAGTCAATGGAAAAAATATCCTCAGGTGAGGATTAACAACAACAAAAACTATGGAAACCAAAATTATAAATTCATCACAATTTAAAAACTTAGGAGATAAAATTAAAGAAACTTCCAAGACAGGACAAAAAAGAAATTTAAAAAAAAATTAATCAATTTTTGAAAAAGAAACAAGGGATTGGAGCAAAATCCACCATTTAATTTATAGAAATTAGAAAAAGAAAATGGAACGATAGGGGAAGAGATTAGTATACTATTTTTTTAATTTCTCCAAAACTGAAGCATACGAATCTCCACACTGAAAGTACAAAATGAGTACCCAGAATGCTGAATAAAAAATACCCATCCCAAGATGCTTCACTGTGTTAATAAGAATGTGGGAATTAAGAGCTTACTTCCAAAGAGAAAGAATACACCACAAAAAACTGGGAATCAAAATGCCAAAGGACTGAACAGCAAGACTGAAAATTTTAAAATAAAAATAATTTCTTCAAAAGCCTAAGAGAAAATTATTTCTAGTCTTGCACATACTAAATGCAGAAGCAAAATAATTTTAAAACTAGATAGATAGATAGATAGATAGATAGATAGATAAATTGATTGATTCAGGAAACAGATAATGTGATTTTGGAGAGAGGAAAAGGAAACCCCAAATGATGGTGAGGTGAAGACCAGCAATGACAAATACACAGCAGGCCCAGTAAGCATCCACTCTAGACTTTAAGGTGCCAGGTGAGGTGTCTCCAAGAAAAACAAAATAACCCTGGCCGGTGTGGCTCAGTTAGTTGGAGCATTGCACCCTTCTATATAAACCTTAGTATCTCTAATGACAAGTTCCTAGAATCAGAATATGTTTAAGGCTCTTGATCTATACTATTTAGCTATCCTCCAAAATTTCTGCCAATTCACATTTGTAGCTATAATATATGATGTTCAGTTCACCACACATCTACCAGTAATAATGTAATATTTTTTAACTCTCACAAATTAAGAGAACAAATTTAACATGTACTAATTTTGATATAAATTTCCCTATTAGTTAAATTACCTACTTATGACTTTTGAGCATTTTTCTACTGGGGTATTACATGTTTTTGTGTGGTTCTTAATTTAGGTAAACCTTTTTTAAAAAAAATATATTTTATTGATTTTTTACAGAGAGGAAGGGAGAGGGATAGAGTTAGAAACATCAATGAGAGAGAAACATCGATCAGCTGCCTTCTGCACACCCCCTACTGGGGATATGCCCACAACCAAGGTACATGCCCTTGACTGGAATCAAACCTGGGACCCTTCAGTCCACAGGCCGACGCTCTAGCCACTGAGCCAAACCGGTTAGGGCAAGGTAAACCTTTTCATAGATTAAGAATATGTATCCTTTTGTCATATTTATGGTAAGTGTTTTTTTCAGTCTTAACTCCCACAGTCACTTTTGTTTTTCCTTCTCTTACACTTGGTACGTAGAAAGGCCTTCCTCAACTCAGGGACAGCTAAATGATGATCTGTTTTCTTCTCACTCTCTGAGGGGGTGGTATTATGGTTTTACTGTTAGTAATTATTTTAAGTAACCTAAAAGAAATCCTTTTAGCAATACTTCTATAAAGACATGAGAAAGCAATGCAGGGCCCAGGCCAGTGTGGCTCAGTTGGTTGGGCATTGTCCCATGCACCAAAAGTTTGTTGGTTCGATTCCGGTCAGGGTACATGCCCAGGTCACAGGCTAGATCCTGGATAGGGGGCGTGCAGGAGGCAGCCGATCGATGTTCTGCTCTCACATCAATGTTTCTCTTTCTCTCTCCTTCTCCCTTCCTCTCTCTCTAAAAATAAATAAAAGGTTTTTGTTTGTTTTTAAAAAGATGCAACGCAGGGACCTCAGGAATATAAACATAGCTTAAAAGCAAATAATTTTCTATGTGTCTTTTAACTAAAATTTTTCAACATACAAGCTTTCTTCCTTAAATATCAGTACTATCTGGGTCAAAAGCAATAAACACTCTCAGGTATATATGCTAATATAGCTTAATTTTGAAAAGTTTTTACTCACTTGTGGTCATGATGTTAGGAGGGCAAGAAGGTATTCCATGATCTACTGCCCATCTGTAGGCTCCTTCTCCAACTAAAAAGCTAACAACAGAAAAATTATTCTTTTAAAAATTCCCAGTGTCATCTTCTCTACATATTCAATTAAGTAATATAGTAAGGCAACTGAAAAGTTTTGCATATAGATATAATTCTAGACTTCTTTAAAATAAAAATATGGCTATATGCCCAAAAAAAGTCTTTAAAATTTTTCCCAATTTAGAGAAATTTTACAATTAGAAATGTTATCATTTCATTTGTAGTAACTAGTAAGTAAAACCCAAAATAAGTAGTTGATTTCCCAATGGAAAATATTAAGATTTACCAGTATCTTGGATCAACATGGTTCTCAGTTGACATCACAAGATCTATTTAATCTGATTAAGAGTCAAAGTTTACGTGAATGTCTTCAGATATGGTATTCTTACCTAATACTACACCTGGCATAACTCAAAATGAGTGGATACATCTAGAAATGCCCTAAAACAATGAGATGTGCTTACATTCCTTGATGCAACAAAAATATATACCTGACCCTCAGGATCATTTTTACTGTGGGAAATAAAGTACTATGATGTCCCAAAAGTAATTTTTAAGCCTCAAACTGCACATTTGAACATAAGAAAGTAAATAAAGGAATACTGTTAGCCAGCTCTAAAAGACTTATTTTCAAAGGTTTCAAATAGCATGCAGGATAATTAACCACCCCATTTTCTAACACATAATAGCAAGCAGTTACCATTATAATCAGTCACTTCATCTCCTTCCATAGCCAACTCCTTAAAGATCTCAGCCAGCTAGTAATGGATTCCTTGAACAAGTGCCTACTCATTAGTTTGCTGTTCCTTATTTTTTGTTTCTATTCTTCTAATCATTCCAACACTAAAAACTCAAAGCAATACATATTGAAGTCTTTAGATTTGATTGTTAGTAAGAAGATCGGTGACAGACTGGCAAAACAAAATCTAAGTAGACACTCAGAAACATACCCAAATGGTTCCAATGAAAAACTAAACGGTTAAGCCCAATAATTGTTTTCCAATGTACGTAAAGGTGGGGATGGAGGGGGCACTGAAAAAAGAGAAGAGGAAGGGCCAACTGGAATAAACAACTTTACCTCTTCAAACTCCCACTTTAAAAAAAAAATTCTAAAGGATTCTGAAAATATAAAACAGTTTCTCTAATTCTCGTATCAGATGAAAAACACTGCAAAGAAACTGCAAAGAAAAGCTGCCACATAGAGTTCAAATGGAAGAATAACTGAAATAGGAACTTGGATGTGAGTTGAGCTGTCTTGACAGCATTTTTAGTACTTCCTTCTTCTAGAAACAGAATTTGGATATAAGAAATGACTTATCTTCACGCAAAGATGTAAAAGAGATGCTGAAGTAATAAACTAAATGATCAGGACAGATATTTGGAGCTGAATCTAGTATTCTCAGTAGGCCCATTGATCATTTTGGGTTCAATCCCAGTATCTGGAATCAATGGCATTTTACAAAATATTCTTAGTTTTATCTTTCATTTCTTAGTCATTCATAGACTTGATTCTAAATAAAATCCATCTGCCATTGTCTGCTATGCAAGTTTGTAAGTAAATTTGGGTATTTTACAATATTCACAGGAAGGTGAATATTTGGATGCCATCTTATTAATAAGAATACTGAATATCAGACCTTAAATTACTATAAAAATTACTTGTCTAATAGCTCATCATCACACAAAATGGAATAACTGCTTCTGAAATCACTAAAAGATCCTGTAAAGCTACATTAGCTTTTGCCAAAAAGAAACTATACATGTCAAAAAAACAAAGACTTTCCAGAACATTAAATGCAGTACCAATTCAAATTTATCTGTCTTCTGACTATCCAAAGAGAAAGCTTTTAGAAAAGTTTCACCTCAATCAAGTTTAAAAAAAAAAAACCTACTGAACACTACCTTTACAATTCACCCAAAATCTGACCACTTCTCACCACCTCCACTACTAACACCTTGCTCTAAGCAACCATCACCTGCTACCTGGATTGTTGCAAAGGCCTCACTATTTTCATACTTGCCTTGCTCTGCTCCCACCCCAGTATATTCTCACCAGCCACTGACATCCTTGTAAAGCACGTCAGATAATGACATTCCTCTTCTCAAAAACTGCAAAACCTTTCATGAGCACTCGAGTGTAAAAACTGGAGTTTTCACAAGAATCTACAAATTCTCCCAAGTGATCTGATCCTTGATGCCCCTCACCTTATCTCTTATTCCTGTTGCCCCCTTGCTAATTTTACTCCAGCCTCTTGTAAAACTCAAACATGCCATGGGGGCTTCTGCCTCAGGGCCTTCATCCTAACTACTCTCTATCAGGCTCTCCCAAAGGCCGATTTCCCTCATCTGCTCCACTGTCTGTGCTTGACAAAACCTACTTAAAACTGCACCCCAACACACTGCACTCCCCTATCCAATACTCCCAATCCCTCATTGTTTTTACATTTTTTCTTTTTTCCACCTTATACCATACCATATACTTTATAATTTACATATTATATAGTCTATTCCTGTCTTCCCTAAATAAACTATAAGCTTCATAAGAATGGGAATCTTTGTGTTTTCTTTGATAATCCCAAGCATTTAAAATAGTACCTAAAGCACAGTAAGCACTAAATAAACATTGACGAGATATTAAAAATAAATTATGGTGTCAAAATTCCCTGAAGGACAACATTTTTCTTCTGTTATATCCATCTTAACTTACATTAAGACAAGTCTAAAGTGAATTAAAACAAAAAGCAATAGCACTCTAGGGAGGCCAGCCCTGAGGTGGAATGATTAACACCTTCAGGAAGCTGAGCTGTAGGTGCTACTGCAAGCCTAACACAGCCAAAGGTCCCAAGAAGGGCTACCTGGGCAAACAGTGATGAGACTTACAATCTTATGGATGAGAACCACCCATTTGCAAAGAACCAAGAATCTAAAATTGTGTAACTTAGTGATTCAGAAAACTCTTAAGAATGCTCCTAGACCCCAATAATCAAATTCTTTATTAGATGAAAAAGATATAGGAGAAAATGATAGCTGCTGCTTTGGATTTAAAAACTGATTTCTATTTATTATTTTATCTATCACTTCTTTGTTCATCACAAATATACAAAATTGATGGCAGACAAATTAGTAGCTATTAAGTAAAGCTTATAGACACAAAGTACAAATAAAGAAGAACCTGCTATATTTGGAAATAACACAACAAATTAAAAAATAAGAATTTAACCTTTTTAAAAATGTATTACAGAAATTTTCAAACATACATTTTAGAGAATAGTGTTATGAACTAAATGGATCATCAACCTATTTCATCAATTATTAATACCAGTACACTAGTGGCCTGGTGCACAAATCCATGCACACTGAAAGGAAATTAATTAGAAGAAACATTTTAATATCACTATTTGCCCTTTCTCTATAATAGAAGTGTCAACTAAATTCACGATCGACAAAGACAGATTGAAACACACGTGTGCAATTGGCGCCAGTGAGAGCTTTATAGGTATCGTGCATGCTCGAGTCAACTTAGCCTTTTATATATATAGAATAAGCTTGCTTAATTAGACCTGCTTTCTGATTTAGCTAAACTTTTTCCAGCCCAGTATAGCACCCCAAATGCTCTTTCAGGTAATTGTCAGCAACACCGCAGTAAATATCAACACAAAGCAGATTATTATTGTAGATCACGCAGGGAGAACAGGGGGTAAAATATTTAATTGCAGCAGTGTTTGACTATATTCTGTGTGGTGAGAAAACCTGAAGTCATTTTCAAGGTCCACCAATTCTTACTTCTTTTCAGTTGGGTCAAGTTTCTAAGCTTTCTAAATCTCCATTTTCCAGCTAATGAAAAGAAAAGAGGATTCCACCGAGTCTCCTATCTACTTACTCCAGGACTTATGTGAGGATCAAATGAGATGAGGCACAGGAAAAACACTTCACAGACATTTGGTTAAAGTGTAAAATGTTTCCACCTGGCTATAAAGCAAGTTGTGTTCCTGGGCTGAAGAAACGCCAAGGAGCCTAGTCGCTAGGGAGAGGAAGCCGGGAGTTGCTACGTTACGTCATTGCCCAGTGCCCATAGCCACCGTTCCTGGGCTGGGCTGAGCAGTAGGCTGTATTTTGCGCCATGGGGTCTCAGCAATGTCAGCTGCAATTTGGTGAGGTATCTCTCCAGGATGGTGGCGGGGCCTGTGTCCCACTTGGGGGAAGCCGAGTGTTGCTTTGTGGGTGCCACGTCCACAGTGCCGTTTATTGTTAAATGGCCTGTCACTAGGGAGAGGAAGCCAGGCATTGCTACGTGACCTCACTACCCAGCGCCCACAGCTACCGTTTCCAGGCTGGACTGGGCTGTGGGCCGCATTTTGCGCAATGGGGTCTCGGCAGCGTCTGCTGCAATTTGGTGGGCTGTCACTCCAGGGTGGTGGCAGTGCCTGTGTCCCACATGGGGGAAGCCAAGTGTTCCTTTGTGGGCGCCAGGTCCACGGTGCTGTTTCTCTGTAAATGGTCAGTGCGTGTCATGGCAGCTCCTGCGTTGAGCGTCTGCCTCCTGGTGGTCAGTGTGCGTCATAGCAACTGGTCAGAAGGTCGGACACTTAGCATATTAGCCTTTTATATATATAGATTGCTAATCTCATTCATTTATACCCCCACCCAAATTATTTTGAAGCAAATCCCAAATATAAATTTCAAATATAAATATTTTGCATACATCTCAAAAAATGATTTTTAACTGATAACCACACATAAACAAATGACACCAAAAAAACAACTAACAATAAATCCTTAGACTCAAAATATAGTCAATAGAGGTTCACATATCCCTAATTGTCATATAAAATTTTGCTATTGTTTTTATTTTGTTTGTTAAACTATTTGGTTTGAATGGAAGTCCAACTAAATCTATATCGTTTGATAGGTCTCATATTTCTTTTAATCTTTAGGTTTCAAATTTTCTTTTAAAGTTCATACAACAAAATGAGTATATTCAAAAATTTAATAAATTTATAAACAAC